GACTAGCATGTGGTGTGGTGGTTAAAGCACTGGACTCCCATGTAGTCAACCGCAGTTCGAGTCCCAGACCCAGTGGCTTGAAACTCACGCCAGGCACATGTGCGTGCATGCCCAAGGTCCCTAGAGGAGCACCGAGGAGGAGGGATTGCTGCATGGCCATCCCCTCGGGGGGCGATTTCTCAGTTTCTGTCTCTCTGTCTCTCCGGCAAGCACATGTGCCCTATAGCAAAAATCTCTCTCTCAAAACCAAACAAAAAAACGGGGTTTTGTTAGGTAAGAATGCGGAAGGCTGGGCATCAGTGAGCCGCTGTCTCCTACACACCACTCACTCTCCGGAAGCATTTAAGAAGTTCCACGAAGTAATGCTTTTCTTTATCCATTATTTTCGTCATCTCTGCTTTAAAATTAATTTCAAGGGTGAGCACAAATAAACGACTGCTGATACCCGAAGCAGAAAATCAGGATACAAGAAGCACGAGGAGATTAAACAAAACAACAGAAAACACTAATTCTGCTCCAGCCTGCCAGGCCTGTGCATGACAAATTACTCCACAGCGTAGCAGCAGCAGACCCCGGCAGTAACCAGCCCTCTCCCTGCCCGGCCCGGGGAGGGCCCCACCAGCCCTGCGGGCCTCCCTCTGGCAGGCGTGTCTTCGTCCTTCCACAGGGTAACAGGCCGCTCTGAGCGACATGGCCGGCCGACGCTGTGAGGGCTGGCCTACCCAGCTTCTGAGGTGCTGTGTGAGTCCCCCGGCTCCCCCGGCCTCAGCGGGTTACTCTCAGCTGAGCGTCTCATGCGGCGTCCCAGCAGAGAACCGTGCAAGGGGTGTCCAAATAGTTTGTGGAGAACGATGCTATGAAAAAGCTCCGCAGGATTTCAAGAACGCGTGTGCGCCCTCGTAATCCCATCTTTTCTATGAACTTGTTGACATCCGTCTATACACGCACGCAGTGTACACAGACTGCAGTGTGCACGCCAGTGCTGCCGGCGCCCACCCGGGAAGCGGGGTAGTGCACCCCTCAGGGGGTTGCCCGCCTCCCCTGCAGCACCTCCTCACTCCCTGTTCGTTTCCTGCCCCTCCTGATGAAGTGCTCTTGAATCTTCATCCCAGGGTCTATTTCTAGGGGGACCCAAACTACGACATGGTCATCACTTTCCCCACAAGGCCAGGGCGGTCGCTGCTTCCCTACCCAGAGGACCATGAGCTAGAGCCCGAGGAAAGGACCTGCGGCTGGGTTAGCGGCCGTGCTGTCCTCCACCTCCCCGAGCTCCTCGACAGCACGAGTTCTGTCTGGTGTCAGAGCCCCGGGACACCTCAGTGTGCACGGGACACCCAGGAGCAGCAGGTGTGGACCCCGAGTAGCTGATGAGGTGAGCCCAGTGTTCCCTCAGGGCATTCTGGGCCTTTAGCACCGAGTCCGAGAGGCCGTGAGAAGGTGCCCAGAGCAGCAAGACCACTGAGCTCTCGAGGGTGGAGGGAGGCCAAGACTAAGCAGGCCCCAGATACGCAGCGGGGCCCACGTGTGGGGCCCGGTCCTGTCCCGGATCCTGTCCCAGGGCCCCCTCTGACGTCCAGGCCCATGCTATGGGCTGGCGGAGCCCTGGGGGTGTGTCCCTGTGAAGGCGCCCACCTCCCTGCCTCTCTCACCATCTCTTATTCTCTCACTCTCTCATGGAATAAATCCACTTCAAAATATCGGTAAAAATGAGAGCCCCTGGGGGTCAGAGCAGCAGCTGAGACCGTGCAGGCTCCACCCCTGAAGGAGGACCCCTATCCTCCCCCTGTCTGGCGACTTCTGTGAGTAACCCACACGTCATCTGCTTCCCAGAGACAGCAGAGCTGCGCGGGAGCGTTCTTGGTGTCAAGGACTTGGAATAGAGAAGAGACAGGGAAATACTAAGCCTGGAAGGTCAGCCTCTCAGGCCCGCCAGGACGCCAGGACCGTGGGCGGAGTGCCGTGCTGCGGAGAGTGCTGCACCGAGCGCAGGGTGGCAGCCCCCAGGCAGTGGGCTCGGCTGCTGTCGGGGAGCCCCGGCACCGCTGCCCACGCACGACCCCGATGCGCGAGTTCGAGAAGGCCTTGGGTTGGACTGTGTGCATGGGGACGCTCACTCTGCCCCGCCGTAGGGTGCAGAGCTGGTGCTGCCCCCCAGGCTGCATCTCCTCCATGAGGGGCAGTTCAGGCCAGAAGGAAGCACATCCCCACCCCCTCGTAAGGGTGCCACGCTCCTTCTGACCCCTTTAGGGTGCACAAGTAAGGTGGCCGTCCTCCCGCCCAGGGGCAGCGCATTCTGTTTTGCCCCCGACTTTTTTTTTTTTTTTTTTTGCTGTATTTTTACTTAAAATAAAACAGTTTTCACTTGGGAAACTGCAGGGGGAAGAACAGAAGCATGTAGACAATGACACATTTAGAGGTCTGGGCACACAGTTTAAGGCAGGGGCCTTGAAACTCAGGAGTGCTCCTAACCGAAGGCTTGTCTTTTTGAATTAAAATAATAGAAAGTGTGTGTGTGTACACACGCGTGTGCATGAGTGCGGGCGTGCATGGGCTTAGATATTCATATCCCAAGGCTGAGGCAGAGGAGCCAGCTATGAGACGAACTTGATCCTGGAAAAGATCTTACGTAAGAAGCAGAGCGAGCGCGAGGGAGCTGGTTACGTAACAGGGCAGCAGACTTCGGTATCTTCTGCTGGCGGGGACCAGCAGGCATGAGATTCCCGTGACTTCCAGTAGCCGGCGTCTCTGCAAGCATCTCCCGGGGGACGCAGATGTCCCCAGGAGCCGGCCCTCTGGAGGAGGGTTCAGGGCCTGCGCCCTGCGGTAAGAGCCAGCTGAGGCTGTGTTAGCTCCTCCGAACCAGCTCCCAGACCCGGCGCCTCCAAACGGCACTGGCACGCGAGGACTGCCAGGACAGAGCCCGACCGGGGCCGGGACGTGGCAGCGTGGCTCTGCAGATTCGGGGTGCTATGGGGAGCACAGTCTTTATGCCACAATCCAGGCAGAGGGGAAGGGGGTTCGCTCTCCCCTCCCCATGCTCCGCTTCCACCAGCTGAAACATGGGTCTCGCCATCTCCCAGGGCCCAGCCATTCAAACCTGTAAGCCTAGGAGGGAAACTGAGGGCACACGGAGGCAGCCAGAGGGGCACCCAGGGAAAGGACCGCTCGGCGCCTGGGGGAGGCCGCCTGAGGCAGGTCGCCCAGAGGAGGTGCACGAGAGCCTGGCCTCCCCGACGGGGGTCCCGCGTCCTTCCCTGCACGCTCAGCGAGGAGTCACTCTCCGTGACGAGGTCTCGTGCTCGGTGCTGCTGAGCCGTGAGCAGACAGCCCAGAGCTGTCTAAGCCTCAAGGAAAAGGGGACGGGCCGGTCGGTGCATGATGGTTAGAGCCGTGGGTCCCACATGGCCCACGACGGGGTTCGAGTCCTAGACCCAGCAGCCTCAAGTAGGTCAGGTGCGTGTGCTCGTGTGCGCGAAATCCTGAAAGGAAGGAGGGATGGAGGGAGAGGGATTGTGGTGTGGACATCCAGGTGAGCTGCTATCTCCCCTTCTCCCCCTCTCTCCTTCCGGTGAGTACATGCCCTACAGACAATTTAAAAGATGAACAGCTGTGGCAGGCGCTCCGAGGACCGAGGCCGGGTGTCTCCACACTGACAGCGGGGACAGTCCCCAGACACACCTCTGCAGCGAACCTACGGGGGGGAGAGATGAGCGGCAAAATGCATGTTAGCGGCGTGTGGGGGCGGGGCTGTGCATACGTGTGTCGTGCTAGTGCGTGTGGGAGTGTCCCTGGAGCCACGGTAGGTGTGAGCACAGGCTGGGAGCCTTGGAAGGAAGGCGAGAAAGCCGGGGTCAGAGGTCAGAGTGCAGACAGTGAGGCTCTCGGCCCTGCTGCTCTCCCTCAGTGCTGTCTGGGGAGTACTCTTCAGCCTAGCTTCTTTCACACGCCTTGCCCGCAGGGCCCTCAGTCGCCTGCTCCCATTAGAGCATCATTCTGTGTAAGTTAGGCCTGTTGGAGGCTCCAAGGCACGGACTCAGAGGCTGCACTCCATGGAGTTCAAGTCCCACCTTCATTACTGCCTAGCTGTGTGACCTTGGGCGAGATGCGAAGCCTCTCTGTGCCACCTATAAAACGGGGAGGATGAGAACACCCGTCTTGTCAGGAGGTGGTGAGGAAGGCTAAGTGAACATCTGTACAACACTTAGAAAGTTCCGACACAGTGAGGCTCATGTACGGTTTGCCAAACACGATGTTAGTCTTTTTTTTATTTTTTTAAGGATTTTTGCTATAGGGCGTGTGCACTTGCTAGAAAGACAGAGAAACAGAAAATGAGAAAACCCCCCCAGGGAGATGGCCACGCAGCAATCCCTTCTTCATTCTTCTCTCAGGATTTTGGGCATGCATGCACACATACCCGGTGTGAGTTTTAAGCTGCCAGGTCCGGGACTTGAACTGCAGTAGACCATGTGGGAGTCCAGCAACGTAACCACTTGCTATCTGCTGGCCCCACAACGTTAATAATTTGGGACCAGCAGGCAGTATAGTGGTTAAGGCACTGGACTCCCACATGTTCAACTGTGGTTCGAGTCCTGGACCTGGCCGCTTGAAAACCATACCAGTGCATGCGTGGGCATGCCCAGAATCCCGAGTGGAGAATGGAGGAGAAGGGACTGTGGCATGGCCATCCCCCTGGGGGAGATCTCTTGCTATCCCTCTCACTGTCTCTCCAGTGAGCGCACGTGCCCTATAGCGAAAACGTGAGATAATGAGGAGGAGGAGAGCGACGCATGTGCCCCACAGCCTCCCTGAGCACTTCCTTACCGCAGCATCTGGGAGGCCTGGAGGACCCTCTCTCGGCCTCCTCGGCCACTCACTGGTGCCGAACCCCCGGCATGCTGAGATGCTGGTGCCGTTTGCGGGGAGGCTGGGGCAGGCACTGTCATCTACGGGGCTGCGCCTGTCAGGAGGGGTATGACGGCAGGGTGTGTTCGGTCTTCCAGGAGGCGGAGATCCTGAACACGGCCATCCTCACGGGGAAGACGGTGGCCGTCCCGGTGAAGGTGGTCTCCGTGGAGGAGGATGGCACGGTGACAGACCAGCTGGAGGCCGTGGAGTGCCGATCGTCTGATGAAGACGTGGTTAAGGCAAGTTGGCAGCTGCGGGGACCGCAGGGCCGTGGGATCCTCCCCACTCCTAGTTACCCCGCCGCGCACCCGGGCTTCCAGGGTGGAGACTGCTCGTACTGTGGCCCCCGGGCTGGGCGCTTCCCCTTTCACATTTGCCAAATGCCTTCGGCCACATGCCAGCCTCCTGGGGAGGTTGTGGGGCTGCAGGGGCCCCACCCTCACGGAGCTACTCTCCCCAACTCTAGGCTGGATGGGATGGGGAACGGAGGACGGGCACCTCCGTGGTGACGTTAGAGCACAGGGCGTTTGTGCAAAGTCAGGGGTGTGACGCCCACGGACGCCCAGCTCGAGGTGTGATCCCGGCCGGGAGGGAAGAGCAGAACCCGCCCACAGTGCTCTCCATGAGCCGGAGAGCTCTCCTCAGTGCGGTCCGCCGACCCGTCCTTCCTTCCGCTCTCCACTTCCTCTTTTTAAACTGAATGAACAAAAGGATTCAAAACAGGCATGCTGGGAGACGTGGGCAGCTGGGGACCCTGGGTCTGTGCTGCCAAGTGTCCGCAGCATGCGTCCAGCCTCCCGTGGCAGGATACGCTGAGCCAGGGCCGCCATGAGACTTGCAGGTGGCACCCTGGGGAAGGGCGGCCCTGCAGGATGGGGCAGCTCTGAGGATGGGGGCAGCCATGTAGGACAGGGGCAGCCCTGAGGACGGGGACAGTCCTGAGGACGGGGACAGCCCTGAGGATGGGGGCAGCCACGTAGGATGGGGGCAGCCCTGAGGACGAGGGCAGCCACGTAGGATGGGGCCGCTCTGAGGATGGGGCAGCTCTGAGGATGGGGGCAGCTCTGAGGATGCAGGGGCCCTAACAGGACAGCCCCAGCCCTCTGCCCTGCACACTGCGTGGCTGGCTCCCTCACCCCTCCTCCCGTCCCAACCTCTCTGAGCAGGCTCTGTGAGACCGTCGCACCCGGGACTGCTTCCTGCATCCCTGCGAACGCTGATCCACACCCAGGCGGCCTCCGCACGTGTGATGAAAATGGAATTAAAGTACACGTTTATTTCAGTGCAACATTGTTTTGAAATCCAGGGGTAGTGAAGTTTTGGACTGCGCTTTCTATACACACTTACGCGTGCGCGCGCACACACGGTCCTCAGCTCACAGTGTTCAGCGTTTCAGCTTTGGGTTTTCCAACTTGATGGTGGTCACGAGCCGCACGCGTGCAGTAGGGGCCGTACTCTGAGTGGCCGTAGAGCCGTCCTGCTGTCAGCACTGTCTGCCATAGTCGCCCTTTATGCTAAGACAGCCCCGTGTCCGGGGAGTTTGCCCAGCCAGCCGCCGGCTCGTGCAGGGGCTCTGAGCGCGCTTAGCAGACGACTAGCCTCGGCTGCTCAGTGGGCTGCGTGGGTTTATGCTTGCTTACCTACTGTGTTTTCGACCTACTGTGGGCTTTCCAGATGGAACCACCACAAGTGAGCGCCATCCATCTGCCGTAGACGTGTCGTTCCTGTGTTCGCGTCCTGCCTTCACCGCAGGGCAAGCCACGGAGCCGTTTCGGTTCACTTCGCCCACACTGCAGGCCGATCACTGTGACTAGCCAGGCAGGTGGCAGGTGGCAGGCGCTCCGCGGACGTTCGTCGGAAGAAAGGACAGACAGCATAGGAGACGCTGGGGACAAACCGCTAGGTTGTCTGGAAAGTCATGACGTGTCTCTCTGTTTATGCAAAAACACGTCATGACGTTCCCAACGACCCATACGTCACAGAAGGTTCTGGGGAGATACTTAGACTGTGACCCACGGGGTGCGGAGGGCGGAGACAGAGCAGCGTGAATGAGGCAGGAAGAGCCGTGCAGTGGCCACGCCCCCACCCTGCAGGAGTGCCATGTGACTCGGCCTGGCCAATGAAAGCTTGAGATCCTTCTGATCCTGCCATTGGCTCAGAGGCAGGCACAGGGTCCAGTCAGAGCCAATGAGATGCAGCCCTGAGACTTTGGCAGGACTCTTCAGAGGGAAGTCTCGTCTGTGCTCGTCCCGGGGGTGACTCACGACCCTACTGTCAGCAGCACCCGGGAGGAGAAAAGGCAGAGCCCTTTCAGCACCCGGTTCCTGAATGGGCAGGCCTGGCAGCCTGGAGCCCAGCTGACAGGTCAGAGCCTACCTGCCCAGCTGTCACGCGCAGCTCTGATGGCAGACACTGGCGGTCCCTGGGCACATTGTGTTGGTGTCATTTGGAAGCCCGTGAGAAAGAAAGTTGGGAATTCTTGGAGAAGCACCCTAGGCGCCCGTGCAGGCCTGGCAAGGCTGGGCAGGAAGGACGCCCTGTGGATCTGTAATCTTTTTACTCACTTTCTCTTTCTCCACTTGCCAGGAGCCTGACACGCTCATGTGGGCTCTGGCATCCGTATCAAGACCTCCGGAAATCCACTGGAAAACTCATTCACACTGAATTGAAAATCACATCAAGGGGTGTGTTATGGATGCCTCTCAAGGATGCGTGCTGGTACCATTTTCTCAAGAAGGCAAGGGATCAGAAAATTGCATCAGCACCAGCCTAATGAAGAAGTGGACAGGAGGGGAAGGAGGCGGAGGGAGAAGTCACCGTCTGCCAGCACAGTAGAGAAGCCCACGGCTGGGGCTAGCTCAGGGGCTTTTATTCAGAACCTCGGATACACCACCGGGACACCCTCTGTCTGTCCCTCTGTCCCTCCTCCCGATAGGCACGCTCTCATCTGTATAACCTTCAGTCTCACAGAAGGTGCCCTGTGGGAGCTGGGTGGCAGCCTCGAAACTGGCTCATGTCCAGCAGAGAAGTCCCTGTCTTCCAGGACATCCCTGTCTAAGTCCTGGAATACGCGCTGAGGGCGTCTGGTCACCTCCTCATCCGTGTTCCAGGCACCGCAGCCAAAGGCACAGGTGTCCAGAGCCCCAGCATCTCGGGGCAGGAGCTGTGAGGAGCTGAGGACCCCTGGGGCAGGTCCACACGCAGTCACCACAGATGCACCAGGGGTCCCCAGAGACCACGTGGAAGTAGGGCAACTTTGGGGATGGGGACCTTCTGAGAACCCCGTAGGTGGTACGGCTCTGGTCAGGCTGCTGTGCCTCCCTCCTGGAGGTGGGCCTGGGCTCAGGTGTCGATCCTCAGACGTTTGCGGAGGGTCGGTTGTTCTCTGCCCCTCGCTCGCGGTTCAGGTGTTCGTTTACAGGTTCTCAATGTGCAGCATCAGGCCCAGCAGGCGGCGTAGTGGTGAAGGTGCTGGACTCCTGCATGGCCGACCATGGGGGGATGGTCACGCATGCACATGCACCTGGCGTGAATTTAACCCACCAAGTCCAGGACGCAAACCACAGTCGGCTGCATGGGAGTCCAGCGACAGCCATTACGCTAACTGCTGGTCCCAAGGCCATGGGTTATAACCCAAGGTGGAGACGGGGTTGGCAAGAGAAGGCAGGTGAAGTCCTGGTAGTGAGGCCACGTTATGCTTAGCACCAGTAGAAGTGTGGTGGGCAGGGCAGGCCTCAGCAAGCTGCTCGCGGTTCCCCTCACCAGAATGCTGAGCATCCAGGCGAGGAGGTCCTGGGGACGTGAGGCCACGTGAGACCCAACGCTGCAGACAGGCTGTGGAGGCTCCAGGCACTCCGGGAAGACGTGCTGAGGACAGCCAATGCGCCCTTATGGACAGAAAAAAATGAAGCGTGTTTCTTGCAATGGGTCACCGTGGAGAATAAAAGGAGACAGCATTAATGCTGACAGGTGGAACACTGCCCCGTCCTGGGCAAACCGGAATGCATGGGCCCCGGGGAATCAGATTCACTGGGCAGCGCTGGGTCTGGGGTTCGGGGGGAATCTCTCAGAGGTCAGAAACAGGACCTTGGTGCTTCCTGTGACTCGGGGGCCCTGGAGCAAAGCCCACTGAAGAGGAACCTGAGTTTCCTGCACTTCTCAAAGGAAAGACTTGGGAAGGCCCGGGGTCCGCACACAGTGAGGTGCTAGGGAGCATAACGCCCATATGTCCGCGCGCTTTCCAAGGCGTCGGGCAGCGCGTGCTCAGGTGAAGACCGTGTCTGCCCAATACGGAGCACACTTGTATCTCTCCTAATGTTTCTTAGAACAGCATATTCGAAGCGGGCACCCCCAGCTGCGATTTCCTAAGTATTCTCAGAACCAGAGTGAATTTAGAAAGCGGTTGGCGTGAGGAAGGCATGCAGAAGTGTGTTAGCAAACAATGACGCGGGCACTACGTGGGAGGTGACCGAGAGGGACAGTGGCACACGGAGCCAGAGGGCTTCATTCCGGCGGGGAGAGAGTGCCATCGGGGTCGGGCAAGCTTCTCCATGGAAACATGGGCCAGGACTGCTCTCGTGTCCTCGCTGGAAAGACGCCTCTGCAGGAGAGGGACAGGGGCAGCCCGGTGCCACCGGTGACGCGTCAGTTCTCAGAAGGAGGAGAGCGGCAGGCCAGCCTTCCAACTGTGACTGTGCAGTGACACAAAGCTGCCCAGCCAGGACCATTCCTGTTTGAAAAAATTAAATTTTTCTGGCTTAACGGTTGAGATACAGGCTGAAAACCCACGCGAATGTGTAAGTAACTGTGAGGCAGGATATTCGGGTTTTCACTCCAGGCCTTCCCTGCTCAGCCCCACAGCAGGGCGCACGCAGCCAGACCCTCCCCGGTACACGCACTTGCCAGCTCTTCCCGGCTACCGTGAGTGAGTCCCCCGTCTCCCTGCTCCCGATGCATTTGCTAGGGCAAGGCTTTGCTGCTGTAACAAGTAGATTCTCGTGTGCATTAACGCTCAGGGTTTATTCCACTCTGGCAACGGTCCCACCTGGGCACGCCTTGTCTCCCTCCACGTGGTGATTCAGGGACCCAGCTCTTTCCAAAAGATGGGAACTAGTGGGCTGGGACGAGTACGGAAGGCGGTGCCAGAGGGTAAGGCCCAGGCCGGGCGGGGCACAGCCCGTTGGCGGGAACATGGTCACAGACCAGCAGAGAAGGCGAGGAAACCAGGACTCACCACGTA